GATCAGCGGTTTGCCAAAAGCGAACATCGAATTTTGTAGATTCTCTAACCTGCAGATGCGAATGTAAAAAGCCTCCAGTGTTCCAGTTCTACCCTTATAAATACTCACACGGCAAAAATGTCCCAAAAAAGTCTCCATCAATGACCTATTTGTTTGGAGCCCTAGATAATGCGGTAACAACAGAACCTTAATAACAGGATTTGACCTTATCACCTAATTATTCAAGGGATGACTTCCTACAAAACTTAATCTTCATTTGTAATTGTGATGCTCTCCTTAGGAAATCTAAGCAGATGAATGAGGTTAAATTAGGACATCATTGAGAGAAGGAACCTAAATTTGAATATATCTGCCACCAGTGGCACTGGGGATTCAACAGTGACACAAATCAAATGCTTCCTATGTAAGCAGAGTTAATCAGTCCTGAAAATGCACTAACATAGTACAAAGCAGTATTTCTTTTCAGGAAATGCAACATTATACTGGCAAATATATTCCATCTTAACTCCAAAATGCCATTCAAAACCATCCTATGAAAAAGGACATCAATTTAAAACATCTGGCCTGAAACCAAGTTGTGGAGTTGCATTTTACTTCTTAAAATTCACTGTTGTGAGAATGCAGACGTTTTCTATCCTAAACTGTGGCTCGCTGATCTTAAGCAAATGTTGTGCCCCTAGCGTGGGTCATTTCAGCATTGGATGGACTGATTCTGCCCTTCTGATCCGTCTTAAAGATGTCTTGGGGGACATCTTAATGTAAGCAGGGCCCTTAGACCCTTCCTAACAAGCATTACCACAAAGTGATCTCTTGTAACACTCACGGTTCCAGGCATAGAACAAGACCATTGTGTGTGACCTGATTTCATTTCAGTGACTGTCCCAGTAAAGAATGACATCATCCCATTCTTTTTTTCTTGATCTCCACTTGTGACTGTCCTCATCTCCCCGCCCCCACCCTCGTCATAATTAAACTGCTCTCCCCCCTCCCGCTCCACACTCCTCATCCCCAGAGAAGTAGCTATTTTCCTCTTAACTTCCTGCCTGAATGTATCATTACGGCAAGAGCAAAGGGCTTTCCTCTGGTCGGTTAATATCCCCGGAGTTTGTTTCCTCGCCATAGTAGACAAAGCCCTACTCTCTTGGCAGCCAAAGTGCACTGGGAGGACCGTCTGCTGGGATAGGTCTCAGTCAGATGAAAATGGAGAAAAGCCAGCAAGAGGTGACACAGCCTGATGGGCACAACGTTTCCCATCCTATTGACGTTTGGTGTTTTCTGTCACCACAAACTCCTTGGCTTTGAGGATGTACTGTCTACACAGGTCCATTTAACGATGTGTATGCAGGTGTGCACATTGGTATGCCTGCGCATACCGGCACTTGCTTTATCGCTTACATTTGTATTAGGACTCACATGTGAAAGTACTTAGTTTCGGAGGGGCTGAAAGGACGATGCAGGAGAAGACATTAGTTTAAAAACTGGCATTAGAAGGCAACTAAATAAAACGGCTATGTGAGGAAGGTGTGGGTTAGATTTTTTTTTGACTGTTATCTCTTATCGGGAAAAAGCAAAATCCACTCAGGTGTCCACATTTATGTAATAGAGCACAATTTCAAACTATGAACTATGAAGACAATGCAGAAACTGTAGACTGTTTCGATATAAGAGTGAAAAGAATCAGAATAAAATTGTATATTCTCTATGTTTCCAATTACATAAAATATTAGCTAGGACCATATGAAATTGCTGCTTTTGTGGGTCAGATATAGTCCATAGCAGCAATTTTCTATGATTCCGCATTGCATATATTCATATTACAAAAAAAAATCCTGGGCTTGGGTTAAGTGGGTGTGTGTTTTACCTAAAAAAATTTCATATTGGGTCCCTATTATGTTGTGTTTTTTTTTTTATGAATTACTTTATATCATTTTATTTTCTTTTTAGTAAGAGAGGGAGAATGCATGATCCAGGGGCAATCAAGAATCTCGAGCAGGCTCTACACTCGGCACAGAGCCCAACATGGGCTTTGATCCCATGACCCTGGGATCATGAGCCGAGCTGAAATCAAGAGTCGGATACTCAACTGACTGAGCCACCCAAGTGCCCCAGGTTTTATTTTTAAGTAATCTCTACACCCAACGTGGAGCTCAAACTTAAAACCCTGAGATCAAGTCACATACTCCACCAACTGAGCCAGTCTAGTGTCCCGCTATCCTATTGTTTTACAACAAATACATTATTTTAATTGCCATTAGGATGTGCACTGAGAAATGTTCAGGGTGACAATGGTCACAAATGAAAACAGTTGGCTTCTTAGCAGCCCCAGATTCAGCTCTTTATATTCCACAGCAAGCTTTAAATGCTCAGTAGATACCCAAAGAAAATTTTAGCAGTTTTTAGGGTCTAAATCTGAAGTTGATTCCTTGAAAAGATAGAGTTTACTATTACAATTTATGGACAATTTAAAAAATCTCTTAAATTTAAATTAAGGCATTGAGTATAACTTAAATTATTAGAGTAATATAGAAAATAATACAGTGCCAGGGAGGCACAGCTAAGACATGCTTTGATAAAATTTTCCATCCTAAATGGGCATCAACAGGGCTAGGAAAGGTCTTAATTTCCTTATAAACAACATATTTGCTGTTCTAAGTTATCCCATCTGTGTGCCCCAAGCCTTGTCTGACAGTGCAGTTTTTGAGACCAGAAGGTACAATAGAAGCCATTCAGATTTTGGCAGGTGGACTTCAAGCTGAAAACCAGGCTCCACAAAAAAATAACAGTCTGTTCCACAGGTGTGAACATTTTTGACAAGAACCCTCAAAATCTCCCCCAAGCTGTGAAATTTAATTGTCCTTTTGTTGTTTTATTGCATGTGAATACAACCTATCTCTCCTTGGAACAAGAGAGAATCTTCTGGCAATCGGAGAGTCAGGAGATGCTTAGGCAGCTTCTGAGTTTTGCTTATGACATCTCCTGGTTCTGTTTCTTGTGTTATGTATCTTGGAGGTGATGCCAAGTTCACTGAACTGCAGGTAAGCAGTTCTTAAAGCCGGAAAAATATTAAATGAAAGAACTTTATATCCAGATGACATGAGCAGAGAGGTAATCAAAAATGCACAGGGCAGCATTTTGAAGCTCTGAGCCTCATTAAAGTGGTCCTTATTTTATAAACCTGACTGTCTGAGCACACATAGAAAGGACTAATTTTTTTCTACAAAATTTACCAGATGGGAAGACTGTGGATCTGTGAATACAGATGTGGTGGTGAAGAGTGACTCAGTTACCTATCTAATACAGCTCAAATGATGGATGAGGAAGGGCGGAGATGTTGAAGCTGGCCACTGGTCCGACTTTGAATTTGAATATTCCAGTCCAAAGAGAAAAAAACAGACCAGAGACTTCTCTCACAGGGGGGCTATAGGTTTTTAAGAAGTAGTGTCTTGTGTGTTAAATTTGAGCATGTAATTCTAACTTGATGCAATATGAAACACATTTGTGTTTTCTCATAATAAGAATATACTAATGAAAGGATATAATGCTTACAGTGATAAAGTTGCCCATTAAATGGAGAACTGACTCAAGAAGATGAAGAACTCTGAAGTAGTCATAGTTCTACTATTTATTGAATTTATTTCTAAACAGAAATCTTTTTTAGTTTCTGTTTGGGAGTATTTCCTCTCCTGTCCAGAGTTTTGAAGGAAGGAGACTTCATTTAACTTCAACTTGTTTTCTCTTATTTTTTATTTAGCTTGTGGGTAACCAGCTTCCACCACATTTCTGGTGATATCCCAGACCATATGCACACAGAGCACTGAGAATTACAGGAAAAACATTGCCAGTGTTCATAATTTTCTGTCAAGGAAGTAACCCCACACTCCCATACACTTCTAGATATTTCCCTTCTAAATGTGGCATTTGTAGAGGACACAAAATGCTTTATGTCGTAAGTATTAGAAAGAGGAGCTGGATAAATCAATCCTCAAAAGACAAACCGAAATTCAGGCCACACCTGTTGAAGATTTCATTTTGTTTTGTTTGTGTGAGGTTCACAAACTTTTTGGTGATTGGAGGACTTTATCCAAGGCAACCTGGGCCAACACAAGGCTTAGAATGAAAAGCAAGCAGAGGGTAATGACTTTGAAGAGCTGCAATTTGAAACCAACAGGAACTCAGCAGTTTCCATTGCATTAATTTGGTTGGGGGTAGAAGGAAACAAATTTCAATGTTGACATTTAAGCAAAGACACATGGGGCTGTAAACTCACATGAATCAACACCCCTGAGAATGTTTCTGCAGCTAAGGTTGCATGGCTTGGATGGGTCTCTGTAACTCTTCCCAGCCCCACAACACTCAGGGCACTAGTGTGTATGTGGCCAAGACAAGAAACTGTGAAGGCAAGCTATGAACAAGACAGGTGACATCTGTGGTTTTCACTCCTGAGACTGTGGATGGCTGGGTGTAGCTGGCCTGCCATTCCCTGTGACTGATTCCCCTGAGCTTCATGAGCAGCTCATGACATGTTAATAAAGTTCTATGATCCTTCCTTCCTCCCTTCCTCCCTTCCTTCCTTCCTCCCTTCTTCTCTCTCTTTCTTTCTTTCTTTCTTTCTTTCTTTCTTTCTTTCTTTCTTTCTTTCTTTCTTTCTTTCTTTCTTTCTTTCATCTTTCCACCCAATGTGGAACTCAAACCCAATAACCCTTAGATCACGAGTCACAGGCTCTACTGACTGAACCATCCAGGCACCCTGATTCTTCAAATACTCATTATTCAGATGGTTCTTTTGCCATTCCTGAAGCCTAATTTCATGAAATGGCTCTACCACATTTAAGGCCCCTTTTAGCTCTCTCAGCCAAGAAGGATGAAAATGTTACAGGAAGGCTCTCTTTCTCACAATTCCCCATCCATGGAACTCTCCTCTCCTCAAGTGACAGGGTGTGCTCAGGTTTAATTAGCACCTTGGTTTAATTAACTAAGAGATAAATGTTTGATACGAGTACCTTTGAAGATGTTCTGCAGTTACTCTGTCCTGGAGAACCTTCACGTCATCTGCCAAGTTCGCCTTCTTCAGACAGTGGTGGGTGGAAGTCAGCACCTACGATGGAGAAGAGTCAAAGTGTCCTCAGTTGCATTTTATCAGTGGCTTCTCTTATCTTTCTGATAGCGCCCTTTCACAACTTCAAAAGAGAACATCATTAGGAATAATATTCTCCAAATTTTATCCACGCTGATTTTCTTACAATCACTTGCAAGAGGCTTTGAAATATGGTGAGTAATTCAGTCCTTTTGTAGAAGTTTCCATTTGACTCTCTCTTCATCAAGGGAAAGACTTTCCCTCAGATTCATTTCATATTACTCTTTGACTGGATTTCCTAAGACTAATAAAGAAGAGTTTCTTTTCAAAAGTTTAGAAGGTGTTCCAAGTTTAAAAGTTGAGTGACATCTAATTTGAGGTTATGAGACCTGTTTTAAAGGGAAATGTGCTGAGTCATAAAATCTCCTAAAGTTGCTGTAAGCTATTATTTGATGAGTAGCAAAGTAAGCTACCTTGCTACTTATTTAACAAGTGGTTAAATTTGTTTCTATTCTGCATTTATTACAGTTGAAAAATGTAAGTCACTAAAATCAACTTAGATACCTTGAATAAGAGAAAACACGCAGTTTAATGCATTAAGTATTTGATGATGCAATCTTGCTGCCATGAATAGCACATTTTTAACATGTTCACATCTATGATTTATAATATAGAAAAATATTAGATATATCATGTGTATCTTATCAGAAAATATAAGGTACAAGAAATACAAAAGAATAGGAAAACATCACACATGATCTAATAACCCCAAAACTCCTTTACCCTGAAAAGGTATTTCTCTTGCCCATGTAAATAAATATTAAAACATTTCATTTGGAGCTTTCTTACCTCTTCACTGGTAAAAACAACTGTCTATTGGTATATGCAGAGGGGAATTTCAGAGGTAATGGGTAGAGATGATCTCCCTGAGGATAATAGACCTGGGATCTCTTCTTGATCTTAACTGGCCCTAGTGGTCCAGGTTGAATGTGGGGCAGTACCTAGTCCTTTGCTCTGTTCTGGAAGCTTCATTCTTATAGTGAGGTTCCTGCAGCAGGGACTCCCTGGAGCTGGCCTGTTGCGGCAGGACCCTTCCTCCCACGCCACCCTTATCATGTCTCTTTCCATTCCTGACAGAAGCTCAACTCCTCCACCCACTTACGCCACCCTCTGTAATCTGGCACACCCAACCCAGCTGGCCCTTGAACTACTCCCCTGTGCTTCCCGTTCTGGGGGTTGGTGAGCTGTAGGACTTCTACTCTCTCTGTTCTCACGTCTCTGATAATATTACAAACTATTATAAGTATCACACGGATGTCTACTTTTTAAATACGTCCCTGGAGGACATAGAAATGTTTTTTTTTTATAATTATGCATGACACCCTGTGATCTCTAGAAGTAAAAGTTAACACATGAATGTGAAGCTATAAGTATCTGCGATGGTCGCGCTGGCATAGCCTAAGGCCAAAGAACATCCTTTTTGCAATCGTTCTGAATATACTATTGGGCGTAGCGGACCCTGGAATTCGATGCCTGAATTTCAGCCTACAGCATTCACTAGGTGATCTTGAGTGAGTTAATTTCCCTACGCCTCCGTATCCTCTGAAAAATGGAGATCTAACATTGTATCTAACCCACAGGGTTGATGCGAGAATTATATGCAAGCATCCATGTAAAAAATTTCGAAGAGTTCATGACCCATCATAAGCACACAGTAAACACTGGCAAGCATTATAATTGGGGTTAATTTTTGTTGTTGTTGTTTTAGCTCTTGCAGTGGTAATTTGCAATCAAAAGATATTTTCATGGACCGAGATCGGACTTTTCGTAAATTTTATACATGGAGGCTCTGATTTGTCATCATTAAAATGACAATTTGTGGGCGAATAATTGCTACCGGCTATTACAGAAAGAACAGAGGCAGCCTAAATATCTGCCTGGTAAGTATGTGCCCATGGGAGTCAAATACCTCCTGCAGTGCCGTGTAAAGTTGTATTGGCCAGAATAGAGCAAGGTGGTAAGACAGTTGAGCCATCGCAGTTTTCTGTTCCATAACCTTGATCCCAGCAGATGTATTGCCTGGATCCTGTCTTCATTTACACGTAGCACTCATACCAATTCATTATAAATAGGCATAGTACTCAATGTGCAATAGAAATTTCTTACTAATAAAAATAAAGAAATTTCTTATTAAAATGTTTTTTTCTTTTTAGAATTTCATTAATGAACACTTTGCTGAAACAAATTTATTCTTTAATTTCAGCAAAACAGCATCATCTGGCAAATAAAATTAACATTATTAAAGAGAATGTTATTGGTTTATGGTTTCGTTTATATTTAATCTGTAATTTCTTTTGGATTTTCAATGATATAAATATAATGATATTATTGTGGACGCAAAGTTATATAAATATCATTCAAGTGAGTTACGCCCAGTTTTTTTTTAAGGTTTATATTTCAGTCACATTTTAGTAGATAGCAATGTAAGACAATACAGGGGGCTCCGTGATCCATCAGTCAGGTAGGGAAACGCTATAGGAGAGTTCCCACCAGCCTGGCTTCCTCAGGGTCCCCGGTGAGACTCTCTTTATGCTTTCATCTCTGCCATTCCTTACCTAGAAAAAGCCACAGTTATTCCTTCCACATATTCAAATTCTAAGCACCCGTCTGGGATCAGCTGAAGTCCTGACATTTCCTGACAAGGTCCATTTTCATTTCTGTCGTCAGACCTCCAACACTTAGAAATTTGTGCCACAAATGTAACATTTAGTTATACAGCCCCCACTGTTGTTGCTGCTGCCTACACGGGTGAAGGTCTCGTCTCTCCAACCAGGTTTTAAGATTGCTAAGCATGAGAGTTATACCTGGGATTTTATATACATCTCATACTCTAATCATAATGTGGCCCCCTGGTAAGTACCGGGCACTGATTGAGCATCACTTTATTCACTTATTTATCACTTTTTTTTTCAATGTTTATTTATTTTTGAGAGAGAGAGAGAGACAGAGAGACAGAGCTTGAGCAGGGAAGGGGCACAGAGAGAGGAAAACACAGAATCCTCCGAAGCCGGCTCCAGGCTCTAAGCTGACAGCACAGAGCCCGAAGTGGGGCTCGAAGTCATGGACCACGAGATCATGACCTGACACAAGTCGGACGCTTAACCAACTGAGCCACCCAGGCACTCCAGAGCATTACTTTATCGCCAGCACCTCAGTCACATACTGATCCCGGGTTTGTTCTGGAGTTTTTTTAAGTTTTGGTCAAAAATATCCAATCTAAGACCTTGGAAGGTTCCTGAAGCAAGGATACATTTCCGGTCCACATGGCACTGAAGCTAGGCCACACAAACTTGAATGAAGCAGGGGATCTTTGGCCTACCTCTAGACCATTTTGCCCTTTCTCTTTCTCAAGCCAGACTCATGAGATTTTCTGTAAGCAACGGCTCAGCACAAGACTCAGATGTGTCTTACGCAAAGACGTGTGGGGGGAAAGAGAGAGAGAGAGAGAGAGAGAGAGAGAGAGCGTGTGCTCGTGTGAATCTCAGTTTCTCTGTTCATAAAATATACAGATAAGATTGGGAGACATCCAACATCCCTTTCTGCTCTAAAATTCTAGGAAATGCTGGCACCCGTGCCCATTAATTTGACATTAACATCCACAACTCAATGTGGGTGTGTACCAGAATTTCACCTGCTGATAATATACTGGGAAGTTGAGTTGGATAGTTTAAGGACTGTACTTTAAAAGTTTGGTTTGGCTTTTCTCTCCGCATTAGCGTTGTACTTAGCACTGAGGAATCCATGCTATAAAGCAAGTAGATGATTGAACTTAACTCTTGGCTTTTTTCAGTTGTTCAGAAACTGAGCTGCATTTCCTGGCTCTCAAACTTCATAAACTCATCAGATTTTGGTGCAGAGCAATGCCATTAAAATAACAGTCCTCGGTGGAAAACACTAGCAGCGTTCATAGCGAAATGCTGAAACAGTAACTGATGTTTTTAAACTGTGAATTGGAGGCATTTATCTACGCCGCACACACATATATATTTAGACAGACGTGGACGGTAAACGCTTAGATTTCTCAGGTAGTTGTCCTTCCATTTCTTCTGGAAGCTGCTTGCAGTCTTGTTGCAGAAGTGCATTCCGTCTCTGCTTGCTGTGCCTTGGAAAGTAGTAACAGTTCCAAACTGCTTTCCCTAAGGAGCTGTTGGAAGGTCCAAACTGTCCTCATTAGAAACCTTGCACTGAACCACACAAATCCTGCCATTGTGGCTGGTGCTCGCATGTGGGACTATTACTTCATGCACAATGACATGGGACCGAAAACATGTGAACAGGAAGCCAAACCCAAGAGAGAGTTGGGGAACTTCCAGCTTTCCGAACTGGAGCAGAATCCGGCGATATTCCACACTCAGGTGTCTGGGGGACTGCACAGCTGCAGCCTATCCACTCTTCAAACACTGCTCAGGACAGCGCAGTGGCTCTGGTGGCACCCCGGCTGGAGTAAATCATCATGTCAGCAGACCCAAAACGACTGTGGACAGCGGAGCACTTGCTTATGAAGCCAAGACTTTATTTTTTTTTAATTTTTTTTTTCAACGTTTATTTATTTTTGGGACAGAGAGAGACAGAGCATGAACGGGGGAGGGGCAGAGAGAGAGAGGGAGACACAGAATCGGAAACAGGCTCCAGGCTCTGAGCCATCAGCCCAGAGCCCGACGCGGGGCTCAAACTCACGGACTGCGAGATCGTGACCTGGCTGAAGTCGGACGCTTAACCGACTGCGCCACCCAGGCGCCCCAAGAAGCCAAGACTTTAAATGGCTTGAGTAGCCTACGTGTGGGATGGTCGGCACCATATATGGAAGCTCACTACATTCTTCAAGCTTCCTCTTGTGCTAATGGGGATTCCCCCAAATGTATCTAGCTCCTTCTTTAAATAATAAACTTTTGCAGGATGCAAGTTCATCTTATGCTAAAATATATAGAGGGTGATTATTTTGTATAATGGAGATAGTAACA